TGTTAATTGAGTCGTGTTTCTTCAACTTCTGATCACTCGCTAGTTGCTGTATCTTTATTTCACCATTTTGTACTTGGTTTATGTATTTATTATTTTGTACATTCAAAATGTTGAGTATTCTGTGCATTTTGTTTCCATTAGCGTAATGACACCACAAAAGCGCGTAGTTTCCGTTCCGTGAACAGACAACTTTTGGATCTTAGTTTCGTCTTCGACACTTGCTGATCAATTGAAGCAATCAGAACATGAAGCTATGAGATACATTCTATGGCGCTCATCTCAAATCGCATTTCTCGTGATCTGGATACTATACGAGCAAGAAATCAGATGTCATGTACGGTTTACTAAATTCTCTTTTCTCTTTAGCTTACCGTAAATTGAGGCCTCTCGGATTTTCTTGCAGCTCCTGACTGATACTCACTCCTACAAAATGTTCAGGAAGGAAAAAATATCGTCTCAGACACTATTCTAAAGCAAACGGAACGTATTTCAATGAAATAAACCTGAAATAACGGGATGAATTGGACGAAAGTCTTAATCGTGCTATTTCGTTCGCACCGACTGAGCAGCAGTGTCGCGATTTTAAAGATGACTCTGGCTGTAAAATGGGGACATTTAACTACGAAATACCCTTCTAGAGATTGGTAGTGTTTGTATGTTTCTGTCTATGTACAAGGCATTCCTAGAAACGCTTCTCTTAAAGTTGTTTTGAATCTTCACGACGACCTAGGTAAAGCTGCCAAACCTACCTTAAAATAAAAGTTAAACTGAGAAATATCTTGATAAGTTTGAAGCTGCAAACAAAAGGTTTGGTTGCCTGAACAAATATCCACGAGTTACCACTGCTTCTTCATACGCCAAAACCTTCGTGCGTGTATTGAAGTGTGGAAATGGCGAGTAAAACATAAGCAATTATGCAGTGCCACGAATAGAAAGGTCAATACGCCCTTAGCAACGGGAAAGTCCCTTTGTGAACAACAGATTTGTGCCTTGTATAATTCAAAGCAAGGTAGGAGTTAAGTTACCCTAAAAAATGAGGTGACTTTCGATAACTTCATGTTAGGATAGAAATAGACAAACGAATTAAAACCAAGAAAAGTAGACTGAATTAGAAAAGTAAAAAAGATCCCTATTAGACAATGACGTCATATTCGAATTTATCCGATAAACGGCGCACCAACGACGACATCATGTTCCGCTATGAAGAGGAGATCAGCCGAACAACTCGCGTGATGTTGAAAGCGGATTTCACATTACGCGAGTTGTTCGAGTGACTTAAAAATAACAAATGAAGTCAAACGATTCATACGAGTAAGGGAAGGTCATTATTTAATGATAGGTGGTTGGGATCGGTGAATCTTTTAGTGTCAATAGAAAATGCAGATACATACCAATTAAATACTAGATGCATGAAAATATCCACGTAATGTATGCATAAAATTTATCATTTTTACTTATGTGTTTAGACGGTAACCAATCAACAGGTGATGTACATTCAGCATGGGCAGTTTGCGTATACAGGACTACAAGGAGGCTTGGTTATCATTCAGCAAACTGGTGCAGTTTCAACCGCAACTGACACAGTGTCACGAACAGTCACGCGTCACGACTGTTATGTAACATTTATTCACGAGTTTTGTTTTGTTTGTAGAGATCGTATATGATTTCATCTTGATTCTCCGGTTTCTACATTATGATCAAATTAGTTGTATATATTTCACGACACGTGTTTTTTTAGCAGAGATTTTTTCGGTAGATCGATAAACGAATACACTAAATCAGTAATCAGCTTAATGCCAACTACGATAACGTATTTCCTCTAAAATCACCCTTAACAAAAAACGGGGACTTAAACGTAATGTGGCGCTGATTAGGTACAACGCAATTTCGATCGCGCAGCAAAGGAGTTTTAAATCAAGTAACCTAATACTATTGACAAAGCTTTAATCCAATAAAAAGGGAATCAAAACTGATATTTGCTTTCGCTCGACATGAAATTTCTCTAAAGTTTAGTTTTGTGTTTATCTCGCCTTTCTTCTTCGATTGTTATTCACCCATCGCAGCAATTCAACCTCCCTCAACTTAAACGTTTTGGAACCAGCTTGTAAAGGCATTGAAGGGTGTATGATCATATCACGACCGAGTCTGCTGCGCATTTGAGTTCAAGCATAATGAGAAGAAAAAAAAAACAGCCTTATTTCCAAACCAAGCAGTCAACTTTTGAATCTCGTAGGTTTTGCCTTCATTCGGTAGCTCGATTGGAAAAATGATAACATGCAATTATAACATACATAAGCTGGCCTGCATCTCAAATTGCAAGTCTCGTGATCTACTGTCCAATTGAATTATATATTCCTTTTAGCTTACCGTAAATTGAGGCCTGTTTGTCTCTTCCGGAGGCTCTTGACAGTTATTTACTCTTACTAAATGTTCAGAAAATGAATGTTTTATCTTAAAAGTCATTCTCAACCCAAGGGGTGTATACCAAATAAACGAAATGAAATGACGGGATGAATTGAAGGACAGTTCACATCGTACTGTTCGTTCGCACCGATTTAGCTTTGTTGTCATGATCTTAAGGTTGACTCTGATCCCGAAATGGGAACAATTAACATCGAAATGATCGTGAAGCAATGAGTAGTGTATTCATGATTCTGTCTCAGTCTAAGGTAGTGTTAGATACGCGTCAGTTAATTAGCACAGATTTTACAGGACAGTTTGTAAAACCCTGAGAAGCATGAAGCTGCAGTCCCTGCAGTCCCCTGAC